AGAAAAAAAAAAGAAACTAAAGAGAAGGTAGGAAGGGATGGGAAAGTCGGGAAAATGCAAATAGGGAACTCAGGACTTGGGAAAAAGTGGGAAGAATGCTGTTACACCTAGAAGACTGCAACTAATTCAAGAACCAAAATGATGTATAAACTGTGAATGGGAAAATAATTTGCTCTGTAAACTTTCACCAAAACCACAAGAAAATGTTTTGTTTTGAATTTAAAAAAGAAAAAAAAAAAAACCTTTAAGCTATTTAACTAAAGCAAGAATTAAAGACTTTAAATATAGTTCTGGACTTCCAAGGTATTCATATGTCTAACAAATTATAGCTTAACAAAACACTGGGAAAATTTAGTTTTGAAAGTTTCAGTAAATCACTAACATATCTAAGTCAGTTTCCTGAAATTGCACTGGGTAAAAGATCGCCATGGTCCTATCTGTTTTAAAATACTATAATTATGAAATTACATGTATGTGTTATGTGCATGCATGTATATATAAATATATATGAAATACATATGTGTGTTAGTATGTCAGTGTGTGGGTATATGTGTGCATGTATGTGTATGTATGTATATATATGTATGCATATATATATATATATATGTTGTTGTTGTTGTTATTTGCCATCGAGTCGGCCCCGACTCATAGCGACCCCTCCTTGGGTTTCTGAGGCAGTATCTCTATGGAAGTAGATTGCCCAACCTTCCTTCTGATGGCTGATGGGTTTGAACCGCCAGCCTTCTGGTTAGCAGTCAAATTCCTTAGGCACTATGCCACCAGAGTTCCTATCATTAGTCATTAAAACCAAAATCGAGTCGTTTCCAACTCACAGCGACCCCTCCTTGGGTTTCTGAGGCAGAATCTCTATGGAAGTAGATTGCCCAACCTTCCTTCTGATGGCTGATGGGTTTGAACCGCCAGCCTTCTGGTTAGCAGTCAAATGCCTTAGCCACTACACCACCAGAGCTCCCCCATTAGTCATTAGGAACATGCAAATCAAAACCACACTTCACTCCCCCCCAACACACACACATACTAGAATGGCTATTATTAAAAAAGAATTGAAAATAACAAGTGTTGGCAAGGATGTGGAGAAATTAGAACCTTTATACATCTGTCATTGGAGGCTTGTATATTGCTACAATGCTGAGCAGGTTTCAGGGGAGCTTTTAGACTAACACCAGAGAGAAAGTCCTGGAGATCTACTTCTGAAAATCAGCCAATGAAAATTCTATGGTCTACAACCAATCACAAGGATGGCACAGGACCAGACAGTGTTTCATTCTATTGTGCATGTGGTCACCCTGAGTCAGCAGCCAACTCCAAAGCATCTAACAACAACCCTAGATATAGACTTATGCCTAGCATCCCCAATGTAATTAGCATATAATTGAATACAGTTGTTTAAGTCATGGTCGTGAATTTATATTGCACACCCTTAAAAAAGAGGATGGTGTAATATATGGAAAGACACATTAACAGCTCTTATTGATAAAGACAATGAGTATAGATTTTTTTAGGAGTCCCATATGGTATTTGACTGCTCACTGGTAGGTTGCCAGTTCATATTCACCAGCCACTCCACAGAAGGAAGACTAGGCAATCTATCTCCATAAAGGTTTACCATCTCAGAAACCCAAATGGGGTCACTATGAGTCACAATCGACTCAACAGCAGTGAGTTTTGTTTTCTTGGTTTTATATTTCAATATAAGGAGCTCTGGTGGTATAGTGGTTAAGGCATTTGGCTGCTAACCAAAAGATTGGTGGTCTAAATCCACCAGCCATTCCATGGAAGAAAGATAAGGCAGTCTGCTTCCATAAAGACCTACAGCCTTGGAAACCCAACAGGGGCGACTACGGGTTGGAATCAACTTGATGGCAGTAAGTTTGGTTTGGTTTTAGTTTTCATATTTCATTATACAGGAATGCAGTCACTTAACATCCACGTTATGTTCTACAAAATAAGATGTAATGTGATTTGGATGTTGTGTGATACCATATTAAAACCTTATGGGAGTCTGCTTCCATTGTCCTCATTGTCCTCATTGCTACTGCTGCTGCTAACTGCTGCTAACTGGGGTGCTAGCAGAGGCGAGAGGAACTTGCAACATAATGGGAGCTGAGTGAAAGTAAGTAGGAGGGAGTAGAATGTGCCCTGCCCTGACCACTGTTCTACACTCCTGAGCAGCACATAGAAACCAATGCCTGCTCATTGGACAGAACCATGTCCTTTGCCTCACCTGCCTGTATCCCACCTGTGGTTCAAAGCTGCAAGACTCTGGGTTTGGGGTCTTTAAAACCATTAGAGGGAAATAAAAATAACACCCATGGAAGCAGCAGTCAAGAAAGAAGACATCATATTGCACTGGGCATATCTGCTACAAGGGACCTCTTTAAAGTGTTAAAGAGCAAAGATACCACTTTGAAGACAGGTGCGCCTACCACAAGCCATGGAATTTCCAGTAGCCTCATATGCATGTGAAAGCTGGACAATGAATAAGGAAGACTGAAGAACCAATGCCTTTGAATTGTGGTGTTGTCAAAGAACACTGAAAAGTACCATGGACTGCCAGAAGAACTAACAAATCTGTCCTGGAAGAAGTACTGCTGGAAGGCTCCTTGGAGTAGAGAATGGCCAGACTTCATCTCACTTACTTTGGTCATGTTGTCAGAAGGGATCAGTCCCTGGAGAAGGACATCATGTTTGGTAAAGCGGAAAGTCAGAGAAAAAGGGGAAGGCTCTCAACGAAATGGACTGCACAGTGGTTCCAGCACAGCAAGGATTGTGAGGATGGTGTAAGACCTGTACATAGGGTGGTTAGTTGGAATCGACTAGATGGCACTTAACAATGATAACAACAACAATAAACAAAAGAGATGCTATCCCTTGGGAAAAAAAAAAAAAAAAACTTGTAAGACCACAGGTGTATATGCAGTGGAATAGGCATTAAGCCACAAACATGTTATCTGTAAGTAAAAGAGACAAAAACACAGAGGCAAATTCCTATAGTTCTTGGTTTCCTGCTCTCACTCAAGTTCTTGATGGTTGTAGTCTCAGGGTTACAAAACTCATCCAATATTCCCACCACAGAATTTAAACCAGAGTGGGTAATGACTTACTGTAGTACATTAAATTTGATGTATGACATGAAATTACCCACACACACACAAAAAAAAGTGTCTTATTGTAAAGTTTAAGTGTGGTCACTGAAGAAAAAAAAACAAAACTCACTGCCGTCGAGTCAGAACCAACTCATAACGACCCGTTCTTGGGTTTCCAAGACAGTATCACTATGGAAGTACACTGCCCAACCTTCCTTCTGGGGAGTAGCTGGTGGGTTTGAACCACCAGCCTTCTGGTTAGCAGTCACATGTCTTAGGCACTACACCACCAGAGCTCCTCATTCAAGAAAAGAGAGCTCAAAAACATACATAAGTAGTTCCTTTGTCTAGTATATTACTAAGGGTATAAGAAGCAGTTATCTTTTTCAGAAAAGAGGCAATCAGTTTGAGAGAACAAAGGTTCCTAGAGCACATGGCAGTTTATAACTATTTCCCCACTACATATTCATTAGTACATTAAACTATAATCTTCTAGATCCTGGATACACTAGAGGTAGGGAGAAGGAAAAAGAGTAGTCATTTAAATGGGAAATCCACCTCAGGGAGAGAAAGTAAAACTGGGGTAAATACTACTTAGTACAGGAAGAAATCCACAAATGAGTATATTTAACCAGCAAATGACAGTAAAAGATAAAATGTGAGCTTAACAAAGCAAAATTTACAAGAGATAAAGAATTCTGTTAAAATACACATTACACCACAACCAAAAATGTGTAGACTAGCCCTGGTAGCATAGTGCCTAAGGCACTTGACTGCTAATCAGAAGGCTGGCAGCTCAAACCCATCAGCCACTCCTCGGAAGGAAGGTTGGGCAATCCTACTTCCGTAGTGATACTGCCTGGGAAACCCAAGGAGGGGTCGCTATGAGTCGGGGCAGACTCGACGGCACATAACAACAACAACAACAAATATATATATATGTTTGTTTTTGTTTTCCCCAGTATACATACCCTCTGAGAGTGGGATTATTTTTAAGTGGACCTAAAATCAAGAATAAGCTTTATGTATAACGTCACACAGAACTCACCAAAACAAACAGACCAGTCAAGGACATATACAGTGTCTGTGTTGTTGTTGTTGTTATGTGCCGTCGAGTCGGCCCCGACTCATAGTGACCCCTCCTTGGGTTTCCGAGGCAGTATCACTACGGAAGTAGGATTGCCCAACCTTCCTTCCGAGGAGTGGCTGGTGGGTTTGAACCGCCAGCCTTCTGGTTAGCAGGCAAGTGCTTTAGCCACTATGCTACCAGAGCTCCTATACAGTGTCTGTAGCAAGTATATTTCAACACAGGAAGATCTTTTTCACCCTGTATCATACTCTAAGCAAGAGAGTGCGAGCCAGGAAGGGTCTGGCTGAGTTGGAAGGTGAGGCAGACTTAAGGTAGAGACAGATTGAGTGGGACAGAATGCACCAGGATACAGTCTACCCCTTGCTCCATCTCACCTACAACCAACCAGTAACGACGCGCAGGGCACATGGTGCTTGATGAGCCAGAAAACCCAAAGGCAGCGACCGAGGACCAGGGACTATGGGGACCAGAGTAAACAGTCCTGCTAACTCTCCCACACCATCTCCAGACCAAGGGCCGAACTAGAGGCCCACTGCCGCGCACAACTTCTTTGGCCCCCAGCCGCGTCCCAGAGGCCTCAGGAGTCGCCCAGGTACGGAGCGCATGCGCAAGGCACAGACCCGCACGCAGCGGGGCCACTGCCCACCGCCTCCCCCCTCCCCCTCAGTGGCCGGATCCCAGCTACAGATTTCAGCAGGCCGCACGCCGTCTCACTCGGCGCTCACTCGGCCTCCGAGCTCCGCAATCATGAGCGCCGCTCCCCAGGTCTGGATAAGGACATCACCTGGTTCCCGAGTTTCGGCCTCACACCGCCTGATAACGTGCAAACGCTGGAGACTAGGAAGCGTTTCTTCCGATTAGGGGTACCGCCAGCGTCCTCCGAATTTGTCTTAGTTTAAGCTCAGCGCCTTCCTGATCTCAGCGTCAGGCAGCACCAGCCGCTTTCGAGTACATCGATGGAGGCTGCCAGGCTATAGGAGTGCCGAGACAGTAGATTGTCACGCCGCCAATTTTGGGGTTTAAGTGTTTTTTTTTTTGTTTTTTTTGCGTGGTTGTTTGATTATTTGGTATTCTTGTTCTCAAAAAGCAGTAAAGATGGACACTGAAAGGTGTTAGTGCCTTAGTAATCGTCATTATCGTCACAGATAATCAGTAAACAAACCTGGCTCGTAGAGAGTTATGTTTTAGACAACCACACATGGCCAACTTGGTTATCTCGTGCTGGGGAGAGGGGAAAACTCGCCCAACAATAATAAATCATGGGAGTGTGTCTGTGTAAAATCGTGTGTGATTAAATTGTAATGATTTATTTGCAAAAATGCATTAAAAGTCGGTGTTTCTTCTGCGCTGAAGGTGAAGGCACTCACAGGTTGGGTGCAAATTAGTTTCTCACATAAAAGTAACTGGTAGGTAGAGCAGTAAGAGAAGGCTGTCCAAGGCGGGGAGAGGAGGTTTCCTCTGAAAGAGAAATCAAATTCATAGTGTTTTTAAATTGCAATGTGATTCCGCATTTTCTGTAACAGTACTTACCTTTCCTTGAATGAAAATCCTTTTTTCCTTCTTTGCGATAAGTAAAACAAACCTATGGAGGTAAATAGTATGTTTGCCTTGGCTTGAGTCCTCTGTGAGAACCAACTCATTCACAACTGCTAGATACCCAAGCTACAGTTTTCCCCGCAGACATTTGAGTTGGTGAAAATCACCTCCACAATATATTTCTCGAAAATGACTGTACCTTAACTAGCCAGTTTTTAGGAAGTGTTTTAAAGCTTCACTAGAACACTACATGTGTATTTTTAATAATTCAAGAGCTTTGAATTTATTTGAACCCTTGAGGTACTGAATTGATTGGAACCTGTACATTTCTCCACAGGCTCTCAACTGAGCTTTCCTCTCAATACTTTTTACAAAAACTGCATTTTGAAATCTCCTGTCCAAGCAAATATTCACTGTCTAGTGAAACAACATTGTTAGAACTCCATGGGCATTTATTAGTATATGACTATAAAACCTTGCGTTATTATTTATTATTATTAAACTTCCTTTAGGCAAGTGGGAATCTGTGATCAGACACTAGATTTATCAACGCTCCATCTCATATGAGCATCATTATTCCCAAATATATAAGCAGCCAATATGCCAAGGTATGGGAAAAAAAATCTATTTGGTTTAAATTACATAGTATTGTCCCAATCTTTTCTGATTATCTTTACAGTGGTCATCTTTCCCTTAAGCTCAGTAGGTGGAATTTGAGTCTAAACTTACATGTCATGTATTTGAAAGGGCAATTAAATAATTGCAGGAACTCCTGAAACTTTACCAGACTTCAGTGGCTGTTTTGTTTATGAATGTATATTTAGCATCTCAATTTGAGAGCTTTTTGAGCAGCATGCCCATTTAGCTGATCCTGTTACTGATAATTGTGCTAAATAATCTCCAAAATGGATTTTCATAAAGGTGTAAAGTTTTCTGTTTATTCCTCACTGCTAATATCAGAAAACAGTTACAGATAGTAACCTAAGGCTCAATATAACCATGTTTCTAAATTCATACAAACTTTTGAAATTTGAGTATTTGAGACTGTTCTATGATATAATAAAAGTAAATATGCACAGAATCCCTTAATACCTAAAAGCTATTACTACTGGAAACTTCAATTATCCTATTTCCTCTAAAAATAAATTTAAAAATTGAATTTTTAAGGAAAACAAAAAATAACTTTAGAACTCAAGAGAAAAGGAAAAGAAAAAATCATTTATAAAAAAGTTCCATCTTCCCTAAATTCACCAAATGGGAACATTTTAATCTGAGGAGTAGATAAATTTATAGATAGCTCTATTTACATACATTATAAAACACTAATACTAGATCATAATTATGTTCTCTCTTTTCACAAATGTTTGATGTTGCTTTAGGTGTACTTAAGTGTGTGCTGACTTTGTGTTGATGCCTTAACCAATGGGTAGAAAATATACATATCAATATTCTCTAATTGCTTTTATTTTTACAAAGAATATTAGTTTCAAGATAATTTAAACACATTGTAATGAACTTTTAAAATCAGAAAGTCTGCACTAATATTAAGAAATTGTCCCCAAAACCAAGGGGTATATTTGCTGACACACTCAAGTAAATATAAGTTTCTCTATGTAATATTCTTGAGTGAGTATACAGCAAGCCCTATTCTACACATAGAGACAAATGACTCTGGAATATTGAAATTTCCTTCTGTACAACAAACTGTTTCTATGAAAATAGTTCAGACATAGAATTTTCAACTGTAACTTTAAAAGAGATTTTCTCATAGTGAGGGTCTCTTTTTGAAAAATTCACGATAAATAAAATTAGATGTGGAACAAACTTAAAACGTCATTTTTTTCCCCCAGACTCAAAGAGGAATAGTCCTTTGTTTTTCAGAATTAGTAAATCAACTACATTGTTTCCCAGGATGCTAACGAAAAGCTCCTGTAGTTCATCGTGGGAAGGTTCCGGATACAGAGACTTGTAAGAGAAGAGGTGAGGGTTCCTGAGACCTCACAGAGAGAAGGAAGTCGAACTGTCCTTGACCGGGCCCTAAAAAAAACACTTTAAAATGGGGTTTGCTAGGGAACAACGGCTCGGGAAATGTGTTAAATCAATCGACCGGCCCCTTCGAGCCAGATCTGCATAGAGAAGTCAGCTTCGGCTTCAGAACCATAGTAATGCGGTGAATTACACGGACTGAGGCTGGGAGCTCGGTGAAGACCCGGGCTCAGCTCTAGCTGCGATCCAAGAAGTCGCTACCAGGAACCGCGTGGGCCCAAGAACCTTCCAGGACCAAGACTCTGGGCACGGCTGTGAAGCTAAGATTCCGGACCTTAGAGCTGCGGGAGACAGAGTCGCAGAGTCCGGATGCGGGGTTGAGATGCGGAATCCGGAAGCAGGACTGGGGTGAAGGGCCTATGAAGTGTTGGGGCGCTTGATTGCGAGCTGGGATGCGGGGCATGGAAAGCGGCCCGAGCAGCTGCGGGATACCCTGAGCTGGGTTAGTCGGACGCCGGGTCAAGATAGGCAACTGATGCCGGGAGCCGCGCACTTGTCGGTTTCCTTTTGGCCCCGCCCAGTGGAGCAGGTCCAGCTCCCCAGTGTTTAACTAAGTCGTGACACCAGCGCGAAACCCACGCCTAATTAAATTAATTAGGGTTTCTTGTCAATCTTGGATTAATAGCCACGAGCATAGGCGGCGAAGCTCTCTGAAAACCCGGACGGCCCGGAACCTGCCTTCTCTCCCCGCCCCTCTAGTCCCCCTTCGCTGCCCTCCCACTCCAGCCCCAGCCTGTCTGGACTCTAGCCTCAATCGGTCTCTCAATTTCTCTCTCTCTCTCTCTCTCGCTCTCTCTCGCTCTCTCCTCGCTCGCTCGCTCGCTCTCCCCCCGCCCCC